AAAAGAATCATTAAAAACAAGATTGTTGGGCCCCATCCCTGAAGTTTCTGATTCAGTAGATCTGGAGAGAGATATGAGAGTTTACATTTCTAAAACATTTCCAGATGATGCAACTCTGCTGGTCTGAGACCACACTTTTGAGAACTACTGCTCTGGACCAGGACACGGTGGCTCACACCTGTAATCCCAGCACTTTGGGAAGCCAAGGTGGGCAGATCACGAGGTCAGGATTTTGAGACCAGCTTCCTCAATATGGTGAAACCTGTCTCTACGGAAAATACAAAAATTAGCCAGGTGTGGTAGCACTCACCTGTAGTTCCAGCTACTCAGGAGGCTGCAGCAGAAGAATCGCTTGAACCCAGGAGGCAGAGATTGCAGTGAGCCGAGACCATGCCACTGCACTCCAACCTCTGTGATAGAGTGAGACTCTGTCTCAAAAATAAGATAAAATAAAGTTCCTTCAGGGTACGGCCAATATAACACATTTTGCATTGCTATAACAGACTACAGACTGAGTCATTTATAAAGAAAATGAATTGATTTCTTACAGTTCTGGAGGCTAGGGAGTCCAAGATCAAGAGGCTGGAATCTGGTGATGGCCTTCTTGACATAACATGGTAGAAGGCATCACATGGTCAGAAGGCAAGACCTTGTGTGTCAGTTCAGGTTTCTCTTCCTTCTTCTTAGGAAGCCACCAGTCACATCATGGGGGACCCACACTAAGAATTTTATCTAATTCTAATTACCTCCCAAAGGCTTCACCTCCAATCAACATGTGAATTTGAGGATTAAGTTTTCAACACAAAAAATTCAGGGGACACATTCAAACCATAGCAAGCACGAACTGATAGTCTGTAAATATGCTAAATTCATGCATGAATACAGAAATAAACAGGAGAGGGAGAAAGGAAGTGTGAGAAGATAACCTAGATGGCAGAAATCAAACAAGTTTTTTTCTTCTTCACCTTTGCTTTTGCTATGAACAAAACCTAGAGTAGGTTTCACAAAAGTATATCCTGTAGATTACTCTCACACCTTGTCTACCAAATTCTGTAATTTGAAGTTTCTAGTATTTTTCTGACATTAAGGTCATCATAATGTAGACACTGAACTAATGTTCATCCTAAGTGAACTTTTAAGATTTACTCTTGGCTGGGCACAGTAGCTCACACCTGTAATCCCAGCACTTTGGGAGGCTAAGGCAGGCGGATCATGAGGTCAGGAGATCAAGACCATCCTGACTAACACGGTGAAACCCCGTCTCTACTGAAAATACAAAAAATTAGCCGAGAGTGGTGGCATGAGCACCTGTAGTCCCAGCTACTCAAGAGGCTGAGGCAGGAGAATTGCTTGAACCTGGGAGGTGGAGGTTGCAGTAAGCCAAGATCACACCACTGCACTCCAGCCTGGGTGATACAGCGAGACTCCATCTCAAAAAAAAATTTACTCTTAGAATCATGAAATGTTAAGAGCTGGAAGGGATGGGGCACTTATTGGACACATTTGTAGAACTTGTACACAGATAGCACCCACATGGTCCTGCTCTGCTCTCTCTTGCTTTCTCTCCAGGGCATACCACTCCTAGAAAACTTTTGCTTTATTCTAATACTTAGCTGCCTAACAGTTCTAATCCATAATTGTGTTATAGTTTAGACCTATAGTTTTTCTAAATGAGAGGAGCTTTAATTTTATAATCACTTGGAAAATAAGGTTCATTCATTTATTCAAAGATAAAGTGGGCTGGGTGCAGTGGCTCATGCCTATAATCTCAACACTTTGGGAGGCCGAAGCAGGATTGCATAAGTTCAGGAGTTTGAAACCAGCCTGGGCAACATAGTAAGACCCCATCTCTAAAAAAAATAAAATAAAAAATTAGCTGGGCACATGCCTATAATCCCAGCTACTTGGGAGGCTGAGGTGAGAGGATAACCTGAACTCAGAGGAGATCGAGGCTGCAGCGAGCCCTGATCATACCACCGCACTCAGCCTAAGTAACAAACTGAGACCTTGTCCAGAAAAGAAAAAAAAAAGTGTAGGTGATAAGTACAGACTGTATCAAAACAGTCTGAGCCCTAGCGAGGCTTAAAATCCATAAAATTAAACAATTCAGATGTCGTTTAAAACTGTGATAGGTATAATCCCAGAGATGCACACCATGCCTTGGCAGCACAACAAAGGAAAACTCTTTGACTTGGAGATGTGGAGATGGTGACAGATGATTTACCAGGACAGTAGTACTGGAAGTTAGTCAGCTGGAGTGCAGGAAGTGGATGGGCAGTCTCCAAGGAGTCTGGCGTAACTGGGGCTGAAGCTGTGTTTTGCAATGTGGAATTTGACATTTACTCTGCAAGTAACTAAGTCACTAAAAGATTTTTAGGGGAGTGACATGAAGAGAATTATGTTCACAGAAGACCCCAAGTGTAAAAAAAAAAAAGTATATATTATATCTAAGGATGCACATTTCCCTCAATATGCTTTTATCTGATTTAAAGCCTAAAATATGTTACGTTCCAATCCAAATTAGTACAAACACCCTGTTGGAAGCCTCAATATACACCCAACAGATTCAAATAAACATAAAAGAATAGCATAAAATTTTAGGCTTTACTGAATCACATGATAATGAGAATTGGGTATTCCAACAACTAGATCCATATTGAAGGGGCTCCAGAATACACTGGAGGCGTAAAAATTATTTTGAGCAATTCGCTTTTTAGACAGGGTGTCACTCTGTCGCCCAGGGTGGAGTATGGTGGCACTATTATGGTTCACCACAGCCTCAACCTACTTGCTCAGGTGATCATCCGATCTCAGCCTCCCAAGTAACTGGGACTACAGCCACCACACCCGGCTAGTTTTTTTGTTTCTACAAAGATGGAGTCTTGCTATGTTGCCCAGGCTGGTTTCAAACTCATGGGCTCAAGTGATCTTCCTGCCTTGGCCCTCAAAGTGCTGGGATTACAAGTGTGAACCACCATCCCTGGCCAGGCATTTGTTTTTGAAATCCCTTATCTGCCTAAAAGCCTGGGCGCTCAAAAAATACTCAAAAATCCCCTTCCTGGGAGCAACCAGGAAAGACTGACTTTTACCCTGAGCCAATAAATGGGTACCACACGTGAACAGACATTGTACCAAAATTATCGTTATCTCCCATCTATTCTAGTAAGAGCTCATTTTATCTTTTCTATGTCATTTGTTTACCCATAAGTACTCTTACTCCCCACCACTTCCCCTATGTTTGTCCCCACTCCCCCCAATAGAGATGGGGTCTTATTATATTGCCCAGGCCAGTCTCAAACTCCTGGGCTCAAGCCATCTTCCCACCCCAGCCTCTCAAAGTGTTAGGCACCAGCCATGTCTCTTGTCTAATTTGCAGGCCTGCAAGAACTCATCCTAAGAGGGTAAAAGTTTTTCTTCCCCAACAATATCAAAACAATAAGGAGAAAATTCTCTGTTAGTGAGAGTCATAAATATTTTAATGGTTTAGCTCAGTGGTTCTCAACTCTGGGTAGATTTTTCTTTTGAGACATGGTGACTCTGCCACCCAGGGTAGAGTACAGTGGCATGATCACTTCAGTGTAATTTCAAATTCCTGTGCTCAAGGGAATTTTCCTGTTTCAGCTTCTTGAGTAGCTGGGAATACAGATGCATGCCACCATGCCCAGCTAATTTTTAAATTTTTTGTAAAGATAAGGTCTCACTTTGTTGGCCAGGCTGGTCTCGAATTCCTGGCTTCAGGTGATCCTTCCACGTCAGACTCTTGAAATGCTGGGATTAAAGGTATTTCTGTTCGTTTGTTTTTAATGCTTATGGCCCAGTCTTTGAGATTCTTGTTTTATTGGTCAGAGTATGACCTAGACCTGGTTATTTTTAAAAACACCTAAGGTGATTCTAATATGCAGCCAGGGTTGAGAACCAATGGATTAGACATTGTAACTCTTCATTAAAGACACAAATTTCTTTTTCAGTTTATGACTTCTAATTAACTGGCTTACTTCTGACTGAAATAGCCAAATACTAAATTTGAATTTTTATTTTTCAAATTGGTTATGCAACAAAAAGTCTTGAGCAAAATGGATAGGCATCCTGTATATGACGGTTGTAAGCCAGCCTATTAAAATCATTACATAGCTATTTAAAATTAAAACCAGTAGTAGTAATAAAAATTCATTATCACAATTACAGCTTCCTAAACTATTGAGCAGATCCTATCCTCAACACTAAATCTAACAATGAGAAGGGATTTGAGAATAGAGCTATTTTAATCAAACAGCAAGCTCAGATTCTGTTTCAAATTCTTTATTATACATCATGGTTGCACAATTTGAGGCTGGTTAAATACAATTGGTTTTCAAAATCTCTGAATATTTTCTAGATTACTACATGCAAGTGACCATGAAAATATTTGGCATTTAAAAATTCTGAAACTCTGAATAGGCACTTACATGAAGGAAAACATTACCAATTCATAGATATCCACATGTAGAACAGATGCTCCAGCACATGGTACATGGACCCTTTTGCCAGTAAAGTTGGTTACTGACCATTTTATCAAAGTGCCATAGTAGTAAAACAGGTTTAAATAAATGTAATTTGGGTTATTTAGCTTACTCATAAAAGTAAGGTTAACTGACAAGACTTGCACTGAAGTATATAAAAAAAAAATTGGTACAAAACCCAATGAACCATAAGTGAAAGTAGTTTCCACACAGCAGGTTTCATTTTGGTTCCTACACTCCACATTTAGTGTATTTGCGATCAGACCCCATGCATATGAATGGATGACTGAAATCTTTTTTAGAAACTTTAAACACATGACTTGAATTTAGTGTTAAAAAATTAAGAGACTGGATGAAGTTTCAATGTGAGTTTAAATAGCCAAAGTTCGAGTTTAATAAACATGAAATTACCAGATCTAGATACTACATGCTTCACAGGTCCTCCTGAGTCCCCTATCCCAAAATTTTCCCCTGAAAAAGAGAATTTGTGAAGTTAAGAAAATATTTGCATACACATGGCAAAAGATTAAATTGAAATATATAAATATGTTTCAAAATATTTATGGAGAAAATGGTTTTAACAAATCTAAAATGCCAACCTAAGTCAACTCCACTTTGCAGAAAACACACAGTGGTACTACTGGAAAATAGCAAACCTGTTACTTAATATGGCCAAAAAAAAGAAGGCCATAATGACCTGCTACATAATCCCTTGTGGGAAGAAATTCAACAGTCATACCACAGAAGACCTCAAAGAAGATAAAATTCTGGAAGCCATGGAATGGTACTCAGAAGTACCTGCAGTGAAACATTCTATTTGCATTTCTCAAATACATATGTAAAAACAAATGTAGTTCTCGAAAATATTGAGATGCCATGTTTTAAATCTCTGCAGGATGCAAGGGGCCACTCAGGGTTTCTAATTTTATTTGAACATAAAATATTTAATTTTTTGCATGTAGAGAATAAGAGGTAATCATTAGCATGAAAAGAAAGAAGGATTTATAATCAACATTATGCAGAAAGAAAGCAAAATTACAAATACCAGCCTACTCACATGACAATTTTTCATGTTTACGCTGATGCATATCTGAGTACTTATCATCAGAGTATGAAGTTAAAAAAAAAAAAAGGCAGTTTAAGAAAGTTCCAGTGTTTCAAAGAAAGCACTTTTAAAAATGTATATACATGAAAAGAACATTTCATTATATCATAAAATAAATGCAGTGCTGTTAAGATAAAGGAAGACTAATATATATGGAGATTTGGCCTTTTTTCCCCCACTCCGGCTGCAACCATCTTTAACTTGCTGAACTTAATCTCAATGGTTACAGGAGTTTTTTACTCTCCTTTTTTCCTCCTGTTCAGTTCACATTTCAGGCTGTTCAGCAGATGCCTGTGATTCTGGAGATTCAAATCGCTGGTGAAAGTTTGTTCTCTGTTTCCTCAGTTTTTCAGGAGCTTTTCTCCATAAAATGATCTCCTAGAAAACAAATGCAAGATATTAACAAATTAATGTTTGATATGATGCCTTATCTCTTTGATGCCTTAAATTTTCACCATGGAAATCAGGACTGCCACTTTAATTTTAACCATAACAAAATTAAATTCTTCCCTACAAAAGCTCTCTTTTCTAACTGATGCAGTTGCTTCCAATTCTAATCTTGACTGCTCCTTCTGCCTCCAGTGCTCCTACCACCAGCACCCACACATTTCCACCACCACCAATCCAATCTGGAAAGAAGTCCTATGATTACTTTAAAGAATTCCCCAAATCCATCCTTTCATTTCTGTTCCATTCCCCTCACCCAAGTTCAAGCTCTTGTCACTTAGATATTAAAACAGCTTCCTCAGAGGCAAGGGAGGCAGGGCGTTTTCTAACTAATCCTTCATTATCACTACCAGGTAAATCCTTTTATACACTGCTTGGGTTGCTCTTCAGCAGTTCTCAGTGCCTCCAGAATAAATTTCCAAACAGGTATTCATGCCTCTCTATAACCTTTATCCAATTTACCAACATTACTCTTTTCCCTCCCTAGAGCCTTGCCCCCATCAGACAAACTGAGTTACTCTGCCTCCAAAGCAATCTAAATAAACTTGCCCTACATCTTCCCCAGTCTTCAAATCTCTATTTCTCTACCTAACTCTTACCCTTAACCAATCCATCCTGAGAGCTTCCCTGTTCTAAATTCCTAAAATTATTTGCTTCAAGAAGTCATTATGGGCTGGGTTTTTTTTTTTAAAACCAACGTATCAAAACTTAAACATCCAAATGAGCACGCATGAGAAATAAGAGACTACCTCCAATAGTGCCATGATATGCAATTGATTTTGAAATTATAAAAATCATGTAATTTGTTTTGAAGTTATAAATGACCTATGTTTAATTATACTACATTAGGATGGCAATACTGGAATAGGTTTTCTCTCTTCTAAATTACTGTCAAACTATTATTTAAGTATTCTGTTAGTTTACATTTTACTTTTTCCAGATATCTACAATGTGAGAACATGGAGGACAAATCATGTTTATAAAAGGTAGTTTTTGCATTTTTCATAGTACTTAGCACAGAATAATTTCTAACTTAGCTTTGAACACTCAACTGACATTCAACTACATATTTATTAATCTGATTCAGAATACAAAAGACCATTCTAATTACTATCTTCATTCAAAGTTCACCAAAAGCTTTTAATTGATTTTCAAATGAGAACAACTTATAATGAACATTTTATATTTAAAAAAGTATTAGAGGCTGGTCATGGTGGCTCACACTTCTAATCCCAGCACTTTGGGAGGCCAAGGCAGGTGGATCACTTTAGGCCAGGAGTTCGAGACCAGCCTGGCCAACATGGCGAAACGCTGTCTCTACAAAAAACAAAATACAAAAGTTAGCCTGGCATGGTGGCACATGCCTGTAATCCCAGCTACTTGAGAGGCTGAGGCACAAGAATCACTTGAACCTGGGAGGTAGAGGTTGCAGTGAGCTGAGATTGCATAATTACACTCCAGGCTGGGCAACAGAGCAAGACTCTGTCTCAAAAAACAAACAAAAATTATTAGAATTCAGTCATCTCACAGACATTCATAACAGAATTGTTTAAAGGATAAATCAGCAAAGCACAGTGGTATGTGCCTGTACCTCCCAGCTACTCAGAAGGCTGTGACTGAAGGACTGCCTGGAAGACCCTCATCTCCAAATAATAATAATAATAATGTATATTTGCTGATAAGAGAAAGATATACAAGACACGACTGAGTAAAAATGCAAATTAAAGAATACAGCTGGGCACGGTGGCCCATGCCTATAATCACAGCACTTTGGGAGGCCAACGCAGGGGGATTGCTTAAGCCCAAGAGTTCAAGACTAGCTTGGGCAATATAGTGAGACTCTGTCTCTACAAAAAATTATAAACAGTAAGAAAAAACAGCAACATCCATAATATGATCTAAATACACATGCACACATTAGTGGCAATGGTGGTGAAAATTCTGCTGACCTTTACTTCATTCCTTATTCTTTATTGCCTTATTTTTTTCTAAATAAGCAGCAGGTATTATTAAAAAACAAAAACAAAAAATCTTGTAAGAGAAAACTAAAAGCCCTGAAAAATTATAGCTCACTCTGGAGTACTGCAGAATGATTGGGGAGGGATTTATCATAGGATTCTATTCTCATCTACTTCTTTATCTATCATACCCACAGTGTTTTTATTTACTTAGAAACTCCCACTCGCTCGGTACAATGAAGCTTAGAAAAGTGAGTTCTTTCTAGGTATTTTTAGATCTGCTGCAGAATACAGTGTCAGCCTAAGTGGTACCATACCTGCTGTTTGAAGTACCTTCGGTCTTCCTCATCAACAAGCACTAAATTCAAAAAGTACCTTACTGAAAATTTTTTGTTCACATCTCTCATTGTTGGAGTTGGGTCATATCCTGCTAAAAATAGTCTTATTGGAATTGATTCGCCTGAAAGAAAAGGAATTTCCACTTAATTCTAAAGATGATTAAATACAGTCACTTAACAGGACTAAGCACGACAGAGATGACACTCATGCTTCACTTCTTCACTGGGCTGAATAATTCTTTGTTGTAGGGAGGGTCCTATCCTTTGCAGGATGTTTAGCAGCAACCCTGGCCTCTACCCACTAGATACCAGTAGCACTCTCCAAGTGTAACAGCCAAAAACGTCTCCAGACAACACCAAACATCCACTGTGGGACAAATTGCCCCTAGACAAGAAACAGCGTTCTAGAGCCAGAATGCCTGGCTTCAAATCTAAACTCAACCATTTATTGACTGTGTGACCTTGGACAAATCATTTATTCATTGTTTAAGTTCTTCACCTGTGAAGTGGGAAATAACAATAGTATTCACAAGGAATGTGCAAGGACTATATGGGTTAATGTACTTAAAGAACTCAAATAGTGCCAACAGGTAAGTGCTATATAAGTAGTTTTGGGCTAGATGCAGTGGCTCACGCCTGTACTCCCAGCACTTTGGGAGGCTGACGTGGGCGGATCACCTGAGGTCAGGAGTTTAAGACCAGCCTGACCAACATGGAGAAACCCCATCAATACTAAAAATACAAAATTGGCCAGGCATGGTGGCGGGCACCTGTAATCCCAGCTACTCAGGAGGCTGAGGCAGGAGAATCACTTGAACCCAGAAGGCAGAGGTTGTGGTGAGCTGAGATCATGCCATCGCACTCCAGCCTGGGCAACAAGAGCGAAACTCCATCTCAAAAAAAAAAAAAAGTAGTTTTTGTTATCTTCTTTCATGAAGTTTACCATAATTTCTAATCATGTGTATAAATTTTTGAATATCTATTACTCATACATCCAAAGCTAAAAGCGGACAGAATGATGACATTCTTTCATTACCAAAAAGACTGTTATTCAGATTCTCATTGCTTCTGTTTTCCTAAGGGTAATTATTCACATATTCTCTTTTGAATTTTTTTTTTTTTTTTGAGATGGAGTCTTGCTTTGTCACCTAGGCTGGAGTGCAAATGGTACGATCTCAGCTTACTGTAACCTCCACCTCCTGGGTTCAAGCTATTCTCCTGCCTCAGCCTCCTGAGTAGCTGGGA